TCTGGACACAAAAACAAAAAGGTGGCATGCAATCATCGGACTGACTTTCACGGATGATTTAGAGAGCACCTGAAAACAACCACCTCTGTACACGGAGCAAAATGAATTCATGCAACAACAAATAACGAAGACGGCAGAAAACACCAAAACAGTCCAACTTAAAATCAAGTCTCACGCCGAGCCGAAAGCCAAAGAATAGAAATGACGAAATTCAAAGATGGGCAGCGAGGGGGCTTGCTGGACGCTCATTCCAAAGAGAGGGAGCGCCAACGCAAAAGGCTCGGTCCCCTCTGAGGCTCCGCTTAGATCTCGCTACCTCTGATCGTGTCTGGTCCAGGGACCTGAGGCACTGGGCGGGTGTGGAGGAGCTCCGAGAGGTAAGGTGGGGCCAGGCCATTTCACCATTGGAAAACAAAAACCCCTGGATCTTCAAAAAAAACACTAAAATGTGGAGGGATGCCAGAGGAGGAGTGATGCGCTCCCTCTTTGTAAGAGTGCCGGTCAAGAGGTGAGCGGCGGCATTTTGGAGCAACTGGAATGGAGGATTGGCTGACTCGCAAATAAAGTGCATTGCAGTCATCCGGCCGGGATGTGTTTTGATGGCGGCGCGGGCACCCGCAGCGGCTCCTCTTGTTGTATGTTGTGAGAGGGAAGAAATTCCATCTGTGCTGTATACAGCACATTTGACAATAAAGTCGTACTTGATACTTGATACCTTCCTCCTCGCCTCCTCCTCCTCATCGTTCCGAACGTATCCGGCGTCGCCGAGCAGGGGGCTGGCAAGAGGCGACAGCTGACTTGGGGCCACCATGCAGACGGGAACCTCTCCGTTCAAAATGCCGTTAGCGTTCCCCTCCGGGTGCTGAATGGTCAGCGGGGAGGCCTCAGAGGCGGCACTTCCTGGGGGAGGGAGAGGAGAGGAGGACCATCAGGGAGGTTCAGTCAGGGTAAAAGAGGGAGGTGACAGACTCGACGCTCACGCTAAATGGAGGAGACATTCATGGCGTTTGGGGAGAATGTGATGCAACACACAGTCTACCACTACCAAGTCTACCGTATCGAAACTCGTGGACATCCATCATCACAGCTACGACAATCCCACCGACAGTTAAACACTTAAAAAGCAAATTGGCAATGAATTTAGAGACCAGAGAAGTGCCTCGCCGATCAATGGCTGGGTTAGTACTCAGAACGAGGTTAGTCGCAAGCTGAGGCTTTGACAACGTCAAGGGAAAGTGGCGCATGCGTGATTGCCGTGGCAGGATTGCGGCCAGACCAGACGTCACTAAACACTAAAACAAAAAAAAAAGCTAACTACAAAACGATGATGTCATACTTGCCCGGGTGCAAAGTTCCAAGAGTCCACATGCCGAGTCCGCAACTACTTACCCATGTGCCCGAAAGACATATGCAAACACAAGCAAGTCAAAACAGTGCGGGAACCACCGAGCAGGGCACATGCACACCGTGGACAACCAACAGACAGCAGACAGGACGTTGTGCTTCTGGGGCAAGTGGGGACGGGGGTTGGGGGTTGCTTTTCAGTTCCTGTGTCCAGGTGCTGAAGGGGTACGGCCGGCAGCCAGAGAATTCCCAACTTCTGTTTTGATGAGTCATGCAAGTTTTCTTTATTACTTGATTTTTAAAAAGTGACGCAGGTGAAGAAAAAGAGGTTACAGTGTTAAAGACAGAGATGGAGGAAGACAATCCATCAGATTTGAATTCTGAGCCGGAAATGAGATTAAAAAAAAAAGGTGACAGATGAGAAGAAGAGTTTCAAGAGTGAAAAAAAAAAACCCAGAGTGCCTCGGGCACACGTATTGAGTGCGTGAAGCTCAGTGTGGAGGAAATTCACCGTGAACATTTGTAACAGGGGCATCTTGACCTTTTTTGAATCTCGCAATGACTTGCGGTTCTCGGTTGAGAGTTTAGCGGAAGACAAATGGGTAGAAAAGACAAGCTAAGTCCGTGAGCTAAAAAAAAAAACGACGACACGAACATTCACATGAGCAAAAGTGGCTCCGATGATCTCAAGAAAGTACAAAATCACAAGCTATCATGTCACGTTCTCGCTATGGTGTGGATGTACGTACAGCAGAATATCATGAGCGCAAGGTCTGGGCTTTCGGTGAGAGGGAAAACAAAAGGACTCAACTCCAGCATGTTGCATGATTGGACGTCCTTCCTCTAACAACATCAATTAAAAAAAAAAAATACAATAAAGGAAACCCGACACCACATCAACAACTTCAAAGCGTGCAGCGAGGTTCAAACATGCTTGCACTTCCAAGATGCACTTCATGTCACTTGACTTTTCGCCGTCTTGTCACCTTTCCCACCCGCTGGAGTTGAGGAAACTTTGTTTTGCCCCTCACGAGCAAACGGATGGCAAATTGTTGGGAAAGAAACGAAAGAAATGGGAAATAACAGACGAGTAACAGGCGGCGAGGCTGCGGATCAGCATCGCCGAGCTTCTCAAACATTCCCGCAACCACTTGGAAGCCTTCAACCGTGAGTGACAGTGAGCAAGAATCCAGCTGCGTGACAGAAAAGGCGCTTGTCCGGTGAACATGCATCGCGGGGACGGGCAGAAAACAGAAACATGCTGACAACGAAGGAACATTACAAAGCATGAAGCGGCAACATTTTGTCTCGGAACAAGCCAAGGGGGGGGAAAAAAAAAAAGTCACTCGGGAGGAGCCATTTTGTGAAAGGTGTTCAGGTTGTGACATTGGGCTCTTGGTCCACAATTCATTCGTGTGCTGGCACCGCAATGGGAGAAACTTGATGCGGGCCTGCCAATTTGACTCCGAGCAAAGGCCGCGCGCATTTACGCAGTGTTTCGGGGGTGGGGGGGGGGGGTGCGTGTGTGTGTGTGGTTGCACGCCAGGAGCCAAGCCAAGCAGACAGAGTGAATGGTCGCAAGTGAATGGGTTCGTGCTTGACTGGCGAGAACTGCGAGCGCAAAGGTGTCAGGACCAGAAAAGGCCCGTTGGCACCCACCGACGGACCGAGCCACACTGACTAAAAACAGGCTACATTCATGTCTAGAAAACTCTTACTAGTCTATTCAAATACATCAGTTCATGTGCTCGAATACATCTCGACGCCGAAACGTGTCAAGAGGAAAACAAACCCGACAAGGGATGAAAAGGTGACAGACGCTTGATTTCGGCGAAGGAAACAGAATGCCGTACGTGTGCTACGTTAGTCAGTCACCCAAAACGTGCGAGTTCCAGTCGGGGTGACGGCACGCCGTTCATCCACAACTTGGCCTTCGGCATCGCCCTCTTAACGCGCCGCCGGCAAACGTTCACCGTCGATGGCTAAGCAGCAGGAAGTTCTTCAAGCCCGACGCGCCTTCGCTCAAAGTCAAACTGCTCTCATTAGCATTATGACTAAACCACGCCAGTCGACTTCTTGGTGACGTTACAGTCAATCCGACGACTCGGTTGGGCTCACCCGCAGCACCGCAGAGTAGTCGCATCATCATCTTAGCGTTCCCAACGGCCACGTTGTTTGGAATCCAGAAGAAGAGGTGGATTCAAACAACTCGGATAACAACTCCTGCTCAACTTGAAATTTTCTTCGCTTAGAATTGTACGGTCGGTTTAGAGCAAGGGTGCCCAACCAGCCGATCGCGATCGCCGCTAGCCCGCGGACCGCTTCAAAATACATCGTCAGGGTGGAAGGGGACGCAGAGAGCAAAAAAGTGTGCGTCTTTGTTTAATTAAGTCTAGAAAAAATCGAATCAAATCAAAAAGCAGGTTCACCTTGAACCTACGGTGGCGCACGATCTGCATCACCGGAAGCTGTTAGCGGTCGGCAGTCTGCACTAGCGTTGTTCGTTTCAGCGATGGCATTGGCAAAGGTTGGCAGTCTGGAGCGCCGGTAGAAGCGTTTTCAAAAGATACACGGACGACAGTTTGTGCACTTGAGAGGCTGCAAAAGTGCGGCCCGTGCCTCCGCGTCAGGTCTCGACTAAGGTGAGCAGTGATTTGACAAACTGTTGCTGTTTCGTTCACGCGGTTTGCGTGCGCTAACGGATCAATCATGGGAGGCGGTTGCTTGAAAAATCGATCTTGGGTCCAAAAAAAGGTCGGGCACCCCCGCTTTCGAGAGGATCTCAGTCCAAAGTGACTGAATCTTGAATGAAACAAGCGTGAGTCAGAATTTGGACTCCCACTGATTGGCTGGCGCCCACGTGGCACAACGTCTTGCGCCAACAACGAATCCGGACTCCCAATCTAAACTCGCGTGCACAGCCCCTGGCAAAAATTCAAATTGAAGCAAATATTTGTTTTGGTTCCTGTCGAGTTCAACGACGCAAGGACCCCTAAAATAAGCACAATGTTGTGAAAGCGAGCAAAAGAGCTGCGATTGCCTGGCCGCCCGCATCCCGCCTCCAAGCAACCGCGTCTGGATGCCACGGACGCTTGACTTCCTTGCCCTTAGCAGCTGAAAACGCGACCTCCCGCATCCTCGCCGGTGCAAGCGTAGCAACCTTGCTCCGCCTCGCCGTCATTGGCGTCCACCAGCTTGAGACTCCCGAAAGAGAATTTGCAGTGCGCGAGCGGAGGCGAGCTCACGCCGTTGGAGTGGACCGAATTGGCGGAGCCGACGGCGGCGGGATTGCCGAACACGAGCGGGGGGCCGTAAGCGCCGCTGCCGGCGTCCGACTCGGTGTCGCTCGTGTCGCTGCCGCTGCTGGTGGAGCCGTCGATCATTTGAACCGTCCGGTTTAGATTGTTGCGGTTGTTCTGAGCTGCGGGCGCGCCGCGCTGGCCAAAGGAGCGCTGCAATGTATTGGAACGCGGCTGAGCCGGAATCAGGAGGGGCCCGCGATGATTACCGTTAGTTATGATCATTCTTCGCTCCAGCGGGGCCGAACAAGGAGTCGGAGCGCGCAGCCCGGCGTGATGATGCGCGCCGCTCGGGTAGACGGGTGTGGACGTGAGCCGGCTGAGAACGAACGGATCCGTATCGGAGCGATTACGCAAGTTGTCGTTGCAATGCTTGGCCGAACGGGCGGGCGTGCCGTTGGAAACGACGCTGACGGGCGAGCAGCTGCCGTAGCGGCGGGGCGGCGGGACGGCGGGCGTGCCGCCGGGACGTTTACTGAAGTCATGCCCGGCGTCATCCCAGCGAGGGTGACCGTTGGCGACCTCGCCGTGACCGAGCGAGTTTGTGCGCTGGTGGAAGCTGCTCATGAGCGGGCTGGAGCACTGACTT